AGCTCAGTCGGCGGACTTCGCCAAATCCGAAGCAGGACAGGCGCTTAAGGCTCAGGCGGCCTTGAACTCCATCTTGATCCTTCAAAAGAAATTAACCGCAGATCACCCTGACATCGATTGGGACATCCAATCCATGGTGGGGTTTGTTATTTCTTTTATGGAGAGCGGGCGCCCAGTGAATGAACAAGCGCCTGAGGGTGATAATGGTGAAGGTAATAACGAAGTTGAAGATCATTCATCTTCTGATCCGAGAGTGGGTCGGACGAGTGACCCTAAACGTGCATCAATCAGTCGTACTTATGCTTAAGACTTTGCACTTTTTTTTTTTGTTTTTGACGTGCGCCTGCTACTTTATTGATATAACTATGACGATGCACTTGTCCAATTCTTATCACTTTCGATGCACTTGTCCAATTCTTATCACTTTCTTTTGCTTAACTAATGTCTCCTTTATAAGCCTGGGCGCTATAGATGGGCGCTTTATACGGTGCATTTCCGATAACGTGTATTTCTCCCCGCGAGCGCTTTGCTCTCTTAATCTCTTTATTATGTAAGGGCGCGAGGAGTTGGCGCTTTATATGGCAGGCGCAAAGGATGGGCGCTTTATATGAAGGGCGCAGTAACTTAGGCGCTGCTCTTGCGTGTTTTTTCAATACTCAATTTCATATTTAATTAATCCGATGTTGCCAAAGTATGGGCGCAAACGAGGGCGCTTTACAAAATAAAGGGCGCTATAAGGAAGGGCGCTTTACTTCTACGGCGCATTAAGGCGCTTTTGGAGACACAAAGAAATCTACTAACTCTTGGAGATTTGTAACTGAGTACTTTCCTTCCACTTCTTCCCGAGTCTAGGCGCCTACTCCATTGCCCCCGGCACCGTATCCATTTCCACTTCGCTTCCACCATATTTCGCGCTTGATTCCCCCACCTCATACCTTCGCAGGTTTTGCGCATTCCAGGTTCGCTTCACCTTCTTACCCGAGAGATGTTCTAACTTGAATGTACTTGGGCCAATGACCTCCTGGACGCGATAAGGACCCTTCCATTTTGGTGCCAACTTTCCCTCGGTAGCTTTGGGGAGGAAATCTCGCTTGAGCACAAGACTTCCCTGCACGATGCTGTGCGCCCGCATCTTTTTGTTGTAATACCTTGCTACTTGCCCCTTCATTGCCTCCAGACGTAGGGCGGCCGCTTCTCGGTGCTCATCCAACAGGTCTAGCTCATCGATTCGCTCCTGAACATCCAGTGACTCATTTTGGTGGGTCATCTTGAAGCTTGGCACCCGCATTTCCACGGGTAGGACGGCCTCACTGCCATAAGTCAAGGCAAAGGGTGTTTCTCCCGATGCAACTTTGAAGGTAGTTCTATGCGCCCACAGGACACTCGGTAGCTCTTCGACCCATCTTCCCTTCGCATCTTCTAACCTTGTGTGCAACCCACGTAATATGCTCTTGTTAGCTGCTTCAGCTTGCCTGTTGGCTTGTGGATAGGCTACGGACGAGAATCGCAAAATTACTCCATTTTCATCACAGAACTCAACCAATTTTTTGCAATCGAATTGTTTCCCGTGGTCAGTGACAATAGACTCCGGGAGCCCAAATCGTGCAAAGATGTTCTTCTTGGTGAACTTTCGCACTTGTGCCTCCGTGATGGACGCCAAGGGTTCAGCTTCGATCCATTTGGTGTAGTAATCCACCGCCACAATCAAATACTTGAACTGTCCAGAAGCCTTTGGGAATGGTCCTAAGAGGTCCATACCCCATTGAGCAAAAGGCCAGGCGCCCACATTCCCTTGCATGGGTGCCGCAGGAAGATGTATGTCGTTGGCATGAATTTGACACTGGTGACATGCTGCCACGTGTCTCCGAGCATCCGCCCGTATTGTGGGCCAATAATATCCTTGGCGAAGCAAAAAATTTTCAAGACTCCGGGCGCCTGCATGCATTCCACACGTCCCCCGATGCACCTCGTCAATTGCTTGCAAGCCTTCGGCGTTGGTAAGGCATCTCAAGTATGCGCCCGAGTGAGATCTTTTGTATAACACCCCGTCAATGATGGTGCACCGAGCAGCCTTGCGCCGCAGACGCCATGCTTCTTTCGAATCCTCTGGTACTATTCCCTGCGTGAGGAAGAGCCAAATTGGGACCATCCACCCTTCTTCGACCCCCGCCGATATGGATGCCATTATCACGTCTTCGTGGGGCACTTCCTTCGTCACCATCACAGTTCGATTATCCTCAAAGTCCATGGCCGTCGCCAGCTTAGATAGGGCATCTGCATGCGCATTCTCTTCTCTTGGGACATGAGTGAATGTGACTTCTCTAAACCAGGCGCATTTCTTGCGCACGGAGTTCACATAGGCGCCCAGCGATTCCTCCTTTACCTCATAGACTTCATTCAACTGGTTGACAACTAGAGCGGAATCGGATTTTACATTCACCTTTTGAGCGCCTAGTTCTCTGGCCATGTGGAGCCCCGCCAAAACAGCCTCGTATTCCGCCGCGTTGTTCGTCTTGAGTGTCGCAAAGCGTAAGGCTACTTCATGCAAGGCGCCCAAGGGACTCATAAGGACGATTCCCGCCCCCGCACCTACTCGACTTGCAGCGCCGTCGACATGTACTTGCCAACACTCTTCGGCCTCCAATCCTCCATCCGACACGCCTTCCGCTAAGAAGTCTGCCAAGACTTGCGCCTTAATTGCGGGACGAGGCGCATAGCTCACATCAAACTCGCTCAGTTGCACAACCCATTTCACCAGGCGCCCTGCTACATCCATGGACCCCAGGACGGTTCGCAAGGGTAGATTTGTGAGGACCACGATGCTATGCGCCTGGAAATACGGCCTTAGTTTGTTTGCCGCCATTACCACTGCTAGTGCGGCCTTTTCGATGGGCGCATATCGTGTTTCGTGGCCTACCATAGTGCGGCTGACATAATATACTGGCTTCTCTTCATTCGTTTGAGGATCCCTGGACACGAGAACTGCACTCACAGCAACGTGTGACACAGCTATGTACAAATACAACACTTCCTTTGCTTTTGGCGCTGTCATCACCGTGGGCGCCGTGAGCAACTTCTTCAAGTCGTCGAACGCACTGTTACATTCCTCGGTCCATCTGAATTTGGAGGCTTTCTTTAGAGTCTTAAAAAATGGGGCGCCCCGGTCAGAAGCCCGAGGAATGAAGCGCCCAAGGGCGGCCAACCGGCCAGTTAAGCCTTGCACTTCTTTTGGTGTCCGAGGGGGTGCCAAATTCAATATTGCCTCAACTTGCTTGGGGTTAGCCTCAATCCCCCTTCTCGTTATCATGAACCCCAAGAACTTCCCTGCCTCTGCTAGAAACACGCACTTCTTGGGATTAAGCCTCAGCTTAAAGTGGCGCATGGTCTCAAAAGTTTCTCGAAGGTCCCCGAATGTGGTCTAGGCGCCTTTTGCTCTTCACAATCAGATCGTCTACATATGCCTCCACGTTTCGACCTAGTTGCTTTTGGAATACTTGGTTGACCATTCTCTGGTATGTTGCCCCCGCATTCTTCAGACCAAACGCCATCACCCTGTAACAGAAATTACCAAAGGGTGTCATGAAAGCAGTCTTCACTCTATCCTCCTCCGCCATGGGAATTTGAGGGTGTCACGAAATCCACCGGTCGTAGAACTCCCTGAGCGCTTCTCCTTCCCTTTGCTTCACTTTGAACAGGGCGCCTATGGTCAGTGTCCGACGTTTCCGCCTGGCAAACTTGGACAAGAATAACTCAGCAAATTGCTCGAAGCATTCTATGCGCCCTTCCTCAATCTGGTGATACTAGTCCAAAACCACTCCTGCGAATGTGGACGGGAACACCTTGCACAACGTAGCATCTGAGCTGTTGTACAACTGCATCTTTGTGAAGTAGCTATTCAAGTGGTCTTCTGGGTCCGCCACTCCGTCATAACTGGGCAATGGTGGTATTGTCGTCCCAGCTGGCTCCATCAAAATACTTCGCGCCAGCGGTTGTCGTACGCCAAAGCGCCTTTCTAGGCGCCTAGACGCCCAAGCATTAGGTTCTTCGATTTCGTTCGTATGCGGCGGGACTTGTGTTCTCCAGGCGCGCGAACGCCCCGGAGCGCCTAAATCAGCATGATGCGGGAGCCCGTATTGCAGAGACTCCAAGTCCTCGCTCGCCCTCTCACGCTTTTTGACTCCCGGACTATATGTCATCACGTCTTCACTCCGCCCCTCTTCTATCTCCCTCCGAAGCGCCGCAATGGCTCTGTCTTGGTCCGCAATGATTCGAAACAACTCCCTTTTCGTCAAGGACTCATCCTCTCCCGGCGACAGGCGCCCATGACTAGCCTCCCCTTCCACGTCCATGGGTGTTTCAGGACTTGACTGACGTTCACCATCTCCCATGTGGGAATTCTCCGATCTCGTAACATCTTCCTCCCCAATCCCCTCATCTAATATCGCCCCCTTCCTGGCGCGCCAATTGTTGAAGCCGCGTTACTCCGAGCCTCAATTCCTCCCTTTCCCGTATTGCACTTGTAATCAGGCGCGTAAACCCTACACCAACAGACGCCTAGTGGGCTAGAGTGGCCCGTTAGCACTCCGACGCTTAAGCCAGAGTCTGCTTTTAGAGAGAGAAGTAATCTCAAACTTTTAGTGAGAGAAGCCAACCTGCTTAAATGCTACCTACCGAGTACTATTTATACTCGATGAGGTCCCGACCAGGCTCCTGGATTCCAGCTCCACGTCAGCGCATCATTAAATGCCTAGTACGGTCCAACGGTCGGATATCTACACGTGGCAGCTCCCAGACCCGACTCCTAGGCGCCTGGCAGGACCACATCTCCAGGTGGCACACTCTCAGCTTCTTGGCCTCATAGCCGCATGGTCCCCGCGTCTATTTTGTCGTTATGCGCTCGGCACTCCAACTTTGGGCCCAACTCTTACCTTGTCTTCCCTGCCCTTAATTGGGCCCAGGCCCAATTAAGTCTATTGAGCCCATGTCCCCCATAGGCTTACCCATATTTATCCAACAGGTTCCCTTTTAGCGGTTCCTATAACCGCTTCAGGCTTTGGCTTTAAGGCTTTGGCAGCAAATGAATACAGGGGTTTTATTAACCCCTTCAAGGCCCAATTAAAGTTTGTGTTTTCCCCTTCTTTGAATTAAAAAATTAATTATTGGAATAAAGTAAAATTTGCAGAGCAAAAAAAGAGGGAAAAAATACAAGAGCTCGAAGACGACAAGCGAGAGCGATTTGATCCTCCTCCTTCAGTCATTTTCTCCGGCGGCCGACCTTGAAGCCTTTTGTTGCTGCTCCATCTATCACCGACATCGCTAGTACCGCAATCTCGTAGTCTTCTTCTGGTATCTCTCAACTTAATTTCTAGCCTGGATTTGGAGATTTGGAGATTCTGAGGTTTAATTTGATTTGTGGATTTCTCGACCAGCGGCGAGATTTGAATTCTCCGGTTTCCTGAGATTCGACTAGCGGCGACTTCTCCTCTTGCCAGAGATTTTTACGACCTTGAACTCCGGCGTGTAATCGTTTCAGCGACCTTCGACTAGCGGCGACCTTTGACCAACATCGCAGCTGCATTCTCTCGATCATTCTCTGGTACTTTCTCTAACTTAATTTCGAGCCTTATTCAGTTATGGATTCTGATATTTGATTGATGTTGTGGATTTCTCGAAATGCAGAGTTGGAATTAGGGCGAAGTGGATCAGCCGCGAGATTCTATTTTGTTATCGTTATCGATTTAGGGATTTTGTCGACTTGTGTGAGTCCCCTTCTTCTCTTTCGATAATTCTCTGTTGTTATTAGCATATGAGCTTGGCAGTAGCTAGATGAGTTTGCAAACTACTTCGGTAATTTAGGGACATCAAACTCATCAAACTGCAGCTGCAAACTCTGTCCCTACGGTAGTTTAATTCATTGATATCCACAGTAACATCAAACTGCAACAGCAAAATTGGAGGACCAACTGTACCTATCCATATATCCTGATCTGCATTTTCTTAAGTGTTGTTAAGGTGCTACTCTCGTTGTTGTCAACATCCCTGGACCTGATCCCATCTATTTGCTGCCACAATGTGTTGAAGAGCTGTCTTCTGCTATTGGTAGTTTGGAATCTTGACATACAATAGATGTCTTGGTTCTTCTTGTCAACAAATTAACAAAGCCTATGCTGCAAATTTTAGTTGATTGATCCAATGTTTTTGAACCAGCTACTCGTTTGTGTTGTAAACTCCAATAATTAAAATATGAATTGGGTGTATTGTTCCCCTCAGTAGTTATATCAATCAAGAGAGGATTTCTATCTGTTTGGGTTTTAGTTCTTATATTGAGTATTCGTTTTTCTGATGCCATAAAAATATCCTTTCATATCACTCGAGTGCGATATATCAACATATAAATATGGTATGATTTGAACAGAATAAGAAAACTAGGACAAACAAGCTGTAGGCTGTAGTGTAGATATGTAGCAAAAGTTATGAACTCAAAGCAATGTCACCTGGTTTTAACTAGGAATTCGGTTCAAATTTTGTAGTAGGACTGATTCTATAGAATGAAACTCTTGTTGCCTCTCTCGATTTTAGCTTTTGTTTAAGATTTATGAAATGATCATTTGAAATGGGCAGGTGTTTGGGACTGAACTTTGCCAAGGTGATCGACTTCTTGCGTCGTCAACTTCATAGAGATACAGTGGTACCTTTCTTTACTGGTGTTCTTTGTAATGTAGTGTATTCAGTTTATTATCGATTTACTGATAGGTTTCTCGACTTCTCTATTTGAAATGCAGCTGTGTGCTTTAAATTTTTGGACACGTTATTTGCTAATCATCGTTGCTTGAATTACAAGGTAAGCTGGGTTTTCTTTAAATGTTTGTCTAAGTGATGATATGTGTTGTTCCTAGCTATGTCAGTGCTTGCTTGTGTCCCATCAATTGCTGCCTGCTATTTTTTACTATGAAACAAATCCCTCCCCCTTGAGGGCCAATTAACACTAAAGAACCCACCAACTTATAAGCTACATCACTAAAACTCACCTACTGTTTAGTCTCTCACTCTCTCTCTGTACTAAATCAAACCCAAGATCAAAATTGGAGTTGTTGATAAACTTGGTGGGTCATGCTCCTTTGAATTAATTAACAAAGTAAAAAAAAAAGAACACCATTCTTATGATATTCATTCTCGTGGTTTTCCGTTTTATGAACAAATTTTGTACCATCCAATGGACAAGAGTTGGATGAACAATTCTAGGGTTAGTCGTGAATACAAGGAAGGGGTAGAATTCTTCCTTGATTTTGCATTCCAAAATGCATCTTCAGAAGGGAAAATCATGTGTCCATGCATCTGTTGTGCATACGTTAATTTTCAAACGCGTGAGAATGCTCGAGTTCACCTCATTTGCGATGGATTTTTACGTGGATATTCATATTGGATTTTTCATGGAGAGGCATCTAGAACTAGCATCCCTGCCTTTTCTACTTCACAACCTTATCCTTCATCTTCGAATAATGGACAAGATCCTGCCCCTAGTCAATCGAGTCCTTGAATTGGGGCAGACTTGATTGGACTAATTAGAGATGCCTTCATTGCCGAAGGCCAAGTAAACAATGATCATTATGCCCATGGAGATTCGACCCATGAAGATGGGGGAAATCTAGGGGAGAACCTTGTTTGATTTAACAAACTTAAATGTGACATTAACAAATGGTGGTACTTTATCCTTATGTTTCTTAGACTAAGGAAACTGGAAAAGAACCTGATAGGCTGGAAACATTTGAAGATACTCATACAAGAAAGAACGGGACCTATGTGAATGGGTATACTGCAACCCTAATTGTAAGAATTTCTTATTATTTTACTTGATTGAGACCCTACTAAATTTGGTTTGCTTAGATTTGTAAACCTTCTTTGCTTTTCTGCTATGTTGTGCAAGATGTGTAAACTTCCATTGCTCTTATGATTGTTGTCTTTACTGTACTGGATATGATGAATAGCACTATGAACAATATAATTAGATCGAAATAGAAATGAAAAAACTGCTTATTAGATGTTATATATTTCTTTTGTTTTTTATGGCTGTGTAGGAGAACGCGTATACTCTTCGACAATAAGGTTTGTTTGATAATGAACAAATCTTTCAGAAGGTGCATGGGCCAGAGCATCCTCGGAGGGTTCGTTATACTGGTTTGGGACCAACGCCATCGACTTATTTGGGGCCTTCTTCTTCTTCAGCTTCAATAAATTCTACCACAACATCAAACTCTAATGAGGTAGACGCTCTAAGAAGTGAAGTGATAGAACTGAGATATGAACTGGTGGAAACAGAAAGTGAGGTAGTTGAATTGAGAAATGGGATGGATCAGCTGCAAATGGAAGTAGACACACTGAAGACACTGTTCTTGCAACATCTTCATAGGGAGAAGGGGTCGATGGAGGGTTCAATTCGTGCACCATATTCATCAACCCAAAGTGCTACACGGGGTTGACAAAAGGTAAGTAAAAAAATAAAGTACCTGCTGCCTTGCTGATTATGACTGTTTGTTTGCAAACTCTGTTCTTTTACACTCTGGAATTTTTGCAAGCTCGTAAGTTTTTGGATACTTTCTGCCCTTGAGAATGTGATAGTATTCCTATTCCCTTTGACATTCCATTCCAATTTAGTACAATTCTCAGTTTAGCAGGTTAGATTATACATATATAAGTAATGGCAATGGCCTACAGGTGCTATTATGTATTTGTTCAGTGCTGAAGGGTTAAACCCTTCAATGCATATATATATATATATATATATATATATATATATATATATATATATATATATGGGGAGTTCTACGGTACTCAGGGTGAAATCCGGGGTACCGCATACCTTGAGTACGAAAACACTATCCAAAACTTGAATTGACTGATCTTTCGGACATGATACTATACTTTAACCCTTAAAGATCAAAATCTAGGCCTTAATTCTCTAAATCTTATACCCCAAGATCAATTTAATTAGAAACAATAATCGACGGTTATGATTCGTCCAAATATAGGCACAAAAATCAATGCACCATCTTAGAATTTATAGTTTATGATTTGGATAATTAGGACCTAGGGTTCACTTATTAAGGGTTAGGGTATAGTATCATGCCCAAAAATCCTACTAATTCGAGGTCTAGATAGCGTTTTCGTACTCAATGTATGCGGTAACCCGGATTTCACCATGGGTACCGTAGAAGGCACCATATATATATATGGGGAGTTCTACAGTACCCAGAGTGAAATCCGGGGTACCACATACCTTGAGTAAGAAAACGCTATCAAGAACTTGAATTGACTGATCTTTCGGACATTATACTATACTCTAACCCTTAAAGATCAAGATCTAGGTCTTAAATCTCTAAATCTTATACCCCAAGATCAGTTTAATTAGAAACAATAATCGACGGTTATGATTCGTCCAAATGTAGGCAAAAAAATAATGCACCATCTTAGGGTTTATAGTTTATAATTTAGATAATTAGGACCTAGGGTTCACTCATTAAGGGTTAGGGTATAGTATCATGCCCAAAAATCCTTCTAATTCGAGATCTAAATAGTGTTTTCATACTCAAGGTATGCGGTACCCCAGATTTCACCCGAGGTATCGTAGAAGTCACCATATATATGGTGACTACTTCGGTGCACCCACAAAAATGAGTGCGTTCAATGCACCCAACTCAAAAACTAGTCTTAAGGTGTCGGATTTTGAATTTTAATTTGCAGAATTAGTGTAATATGATAATATAACATATGATAACAACTAATTAGCGGATTACCCTAAGCCATAGACCTCCAATTTTGAGTTCTATCTGTAAACCCCAAATTATAAACCCTAACCCTAATCCTAAATCTCTAAACTCTAATCCTTCAAATTAAAGTAAATCTTTAATGGTTTTTTGTGCAAATTCATGTGTGTTATTGTTCATCACATCATAAGTGATGATTGACATCATTTTGACATAAATCGCATGTTTAAAATGACGGTTATGAAGCGAGTGCACTGAATGCACCCAAAAAAGTGAGTGTACCGAAAACGTCACCATATATATATTGAGATTGTTGTCTTGCACCAAGTGAGTCATATCATATAGATGATGTAATTTGATTTGGAGCTATATGTTTTGGTTGATGTTGGTGATTCAGAAGAAAGCCTAAGTTCAATATTATGGATTTAGTTGGAACTTTCTCTTTGTTAAAGTGTACTTTGGAAGTATTGTATAGTAATAATGTGTATTTTGGAAATTAGCATTGTGTGGCATGGATAATGGAGAATGTTGTAGACTTTGAAGGTACTTTGCAGGTGTTCTAGAAATTTATGAAAATTTTGAAATGCTTCAGCAGGGGTGCAGGATTTCTAGAAAATATGAAAAATTGAAATGTTTCAGCAAGCTGTAGTAATGGTCTAAAAATCGTCGCTAAAAATCATCTAAATTGCGTCGCTAAAAATAATCCTAAACGTCGCTAAAAGGTTACCCAGTGCTTGAAGAGTGGTCTGTAACAGGGTTCCAAAACCGTCGCGAAAGCTTCTGGGATCCCAGCAAATATTCGCATATGATGGCACAAAAAAAGACCAACTACGACAGAAATAACCGCTGCAAACAAACCGTCGTTAACAACCCCGACAACGGTTTTTGTAACCCATGCCATTACTTAGCATGGTTGTTCTTGCGACGATTTTGCAGGTGTTACAAAAACCACTGCCGGGGTTTTTAGCGACGGTATTTTTCGTCGCTAAAAGTGAAAAAACCCCTGTTGTTTGTCTTTTATTTTGTGGCGAGGGGTTGGCGAAGCTGCTGAAGAGAAGGACGAAAGATTTGTTGTCTCCCGGACGAGCAACAGATCATTGAGCCCTCGTCAATCAATAATCCGCTTGTGGACATCCTTCTTGAAATATCAGGTACGCCATCATCTTTCTCCTTTTTTTCGTCTTTCGGGGACCTGGGTCATTCGATGGTCTTTGTTCTTTGTCTCTTTGGTCTGAAATTCCGGATCCTCTGTTTCTGGGTATTTATGGGTTCACTGCGTATGGGTATTTGCAAATTTTTCTCGGTAAAGCCTGGATTTTTTAATTTTTTCGAATGATACGATGGTTTTGGGATCGATATGATCATTATAAAACAATAAGCGATTCAACTGGCATTTATATCCTCTTCGGATATGGCAAGACGCTAGTCGTCAATATGACTCACCTTGTGGAGCCTGTCCATTTTGGTGTTCTCTATCAAATTTATATCTCGTCCGAAAAGTATCACTGGAGATTGTGCTTTTGATACTTGTGTTGCTTGTTGGCTAGAGCTCCTTGGGGTCTTTGCCGGATCAGTCCCTTCAGCGGTCGGCGAAGGTAAGGTTTCTCCTATCTTAACTCTGGCCGTAACTTGTGGATCTCCAGAGTATAAAGCACAGACTCGGGCAAATTTGCAAGGATATGATTTTGAATTTTGAGAACGAACTTAGAGAGCCAAAGAGAGTGCAAGCGACGAAGAACAATACTCGAAGAGTTAATTTGACCAACATAGGTCAAAGATTGCAGCCTAGAGCTTTAGAGAAGTTCTTGAATGATTCTCTTTAATGATAACTCACCAGTCACCATTGCATATTGGGCCTTGACTGAAAGTGACACCTGAAATGGTAGCCCCTTCCCACATATCAACATGTGTCCTGAAGCAATAAGTGTCATCCTCAACATCTTGGAAAGGGGCACACGGGCATTTCTAGACACCCCAAGCGAAAGAGTGCTCAACTCAGCTGGAGAAGCCTCTTCATCGAAAGATTGGAGGGGCATCCCGGAAGCATCAAGAGCTATTAGACCTATGTCAGGGTCAACCTGAACCGACAAAGATTCATCACCCTGACTTAGGGCGACGAAATCCTAAATATTTTTTACCCAACCCAAAAGTGCCATCCTTTGTCCTACTTATATAAAATCACCCATCATTATATTAGCCACATCCAAAATCTAAACCCGCATCGTCAAAATCCCATTTGTAGTGAGTAAGATTGATAGGAGAAAATACGATATTTATACCTTTAATAATGAGGCCCCACCAGTCCCTGAAAGGATGAATTGGGAAGGAAGAAGAGTGGACGGAGAAATAGAGGGCAACGAAACAATGGCCTCACCGGGAACAGAGCCTCTAGTGGTGGAAGAAGGAAACTTGACAACCTATGTCTAAAAAATAACCCCCTTCTATTTATGGACCGGCATAGGTCAAAGATTATGGCCTAGGGTTGTAGAGAATTTCACAAATGAAGGTCTTTAATGATAACTCATCATCGTATATAGGGCCTTAAGTGGAAACAATATAAGGAATGTGAGCCCCTTCCCACATATGTGTCCTGACGCAATGCATGTCATCCTCAACGACTTGGAAATGAGCACTACGGCTTGGAAACAACATCAGGAATGTGAGCCCCTTCCCACATCTACTAAGAAGCCTCTTGGTCGAAAGATGGGAGGGGCTAGAGGCAGATTATATGTTTCAGACCATACAAACACCCATTCACAAGGCATATAGCCGCCAAACCCCAAGGCCTTTCGGCCTTAAGGGCAAATGTTTGGCCAAAGGGCCACATGTGCTCCAAAGCCCACATAAGGATATGAACCACGACCCATCAAAAGGGCCACATTTGTTGATTAAACTGCGGAAGGCTAAGGCAGTTAAACACAAAACTACACTACTGGAATTGGATTCCAGTACAAAGCAGTGAATCAACTAACTCTCCTATAATCAATTCACTACTACCGATTGAAGAAACTCTAACAACCAAATTAGATCCTATCTATCTCATGTAGCAGCAGGAATCAAGAAAAGTAGATCAGGCTTCAATTGACTCAATAAAAACACTTCAATCGATTATAATCAAGCAGTATATCAATCCAAACGTCATTACAATCAAGATCCCTAACACATGGAACTAGGGTTCTTCATACCCAAGTGAGTGAAAGTTCTACTCCATAGAGAGAGAGGAAAACAGAATACAAAGCAGTCATACTCATAATGATGGGAAGAATCTGCTTTGGGATGATGATCTTCACTCCAAGGACGAAATCCAAGCTTGATTGATGAAACTCAGCTCCAAAATCAATCCTAGGATTTGTTCTTTGCACTTTCTCTCTCTAGGACTCTGTTTTTGCTCTGAAAATTTGTGTCACTTTCTTTTGGCTCGAATCTCCCAGTTTAACCCAATACTGGCCAAAACACGGTCGAGGACATGGCTGTGTTTAACTTTGTCCGCCCGTGTTCTGTCCTCGCGTAGAGAAGTACACGCTCGCGTCGAGTAAAACACGGGCGTGTCATAGGAGTGACACGACCATGTTTCAGAACAGCTGCGACCGTGCTCTGGACTCCTTAGCAGCAACCACCAACAAGCTCTCGACATAAAAAAAACGAGCTGGGGACACGATCATGTTTTCTGTGAATGGCGCCCGTGTTTGCTCCTTGCATCGATTCAGCTCGCACACTAAAAAGCACTGGAGTGCCCCTTAGTGAACACGGTCGTGTTTTTGGAGTAGTTTGTCCGTGTTTTGTCCCAGCTTCACCGAATGACCTCCAAACACGCCGAAACTCGTGCCTAGCCCTTCCTTCGACGTCTGGGACTTGAAATGTGATAAAAGAGCACAACCCAGCGTAAAATAGGCCAAAGATACACGAATACGAGCCGCAAACGGATAAGAAATAAGGGTGCAAACATGTGCAAATACATAGTTATCAAATTACCCCACACTTAACCGTTTGCTTGTCCCCAAGCAAACCAAGTCAGACACAAGGTGCTCAAGACACTTTAACCATGCAAGATTTAGGGACATATCATATCGGCACAAAACACGTGAATCATACTAGCTTTTAGTCATCAACACATGAACAACTTCAATGACAACCTATACAACCACAACAGATGACATTCGGGTGCAGCAAAGTCGAGCAAAGGAGGAGTCTCCCTTCTGTTCACCAACCCACATAGACTTGACTCAACCACTTATTCAAAACAGGCACCTCATGCATAAAACTCAAGACATCAGAATCAAGACCGAGCAGTCTAGGTCCTCACCGGGGTAAAGAGTGCAGAGAATATAAGGAAATGAATCGCTCACTCTCGACTAGTGGGGTCAGGACAATTTGATTCGAAATTTGTGCATGCTTACTCTCTCAATCCTAACGTCTCTTCACCATAATGGAAGCCTCTAAATGCTAGAGTTCACATATCGGGTGTAACCACTAACTAATCTGGAGGTCTTAGACACATGTATAGATGATTGGCTAGGGTCTTGGACATAGGGAAAATGCCTTTTAGGTGGTGGAAGTATTCATAACACAAGGTTCCACAGTTCCAAAACCAACAAAGTCACAATCATTCAAACCAATTACTTTCTTTCTGTCATTCTGCATTAATCACGTTCTTTAGAGCACAAGAGTGAAGAAGGTCACAACGTCTTAGTATTTCTAAGCCAGACTGCTAAGAAACACTATCTAATGGGAATGATTCAAATTTTTGGTAGTATCTCTCGTTTGCTTTCATTCATCTTTTTTTCTTTATTTTTTTCATTTCTTGAGAGTACCACCACCTCTGCACATTTTTCAAACACATTCCAAACTTCTAAGAACTACCTCCAACCCTCCTATCATTTCTAGCAGGAAAAACAGAGAACATGCAAAACCACTCTATAGAACCTCTAAGAGATTAATAAGGGTGATTTTTCATTGTAGACCGAAAGAAGGAAAGTTTCACGGCTTAAAGGGCTGACTAGGGGGTATGACAAACCACGACAGTCAATTTGGCCGTGGGCTATTCCTATGCCTCCATCATCCTAATTAGTGACAACGTGAATGCTACACATCATGGAAGAGGGATCTATCGCACAAGAAAGAAACCAGCATGCTCAAATCTCACATGGCTACCTATATGCTCTATCTCTCATTCTGATTCCCTAAACTAGATGCATGAACGATTGTCAAGAACAAGTGATCAATCCAAGTCACAGTTGGTAAGCAAACAGTTGAAAAATTGAACCCCTACACAACTCTACTGCACGTCTCAGTCATCGTTATAAGTTGTCATAGTCACAATCCAGTTGTCATGCATAAATTCAAACAACCATTCAATTCACTAATTAAACCACAGTGCCAATATGATCATGCAAACATCAGTACTTGGAGCCCTCAAATCTCGAGATTTGGACAGCGGACTAGGCTCCAAGCACACACATATACGTTCCAATAAAGACAAAGCACCCCCACAATTAAGTTCGACATTGCCCTCAATGGAGCAAAGGGAAGGGGAACGATGTTACCGTGAAATGAAGATCAGGAACGGGGACGGGAAGGCAAACTATCAAGAGCAGGGGACTGGAAGGGGACCTGTCCAAAGGCACAGATCTAGAGTCATGAAAACACACACACACACACACACACACTGGGTGAAAGAAACCATAGTTCCATGTCCAGATCCAAAGAAAAAGAAAGAACGAAAGAAAAAGAAAAACAAACGACAGGGAGTCTCAGTCTGGAAAGGAAAGGAAGTACATAACCCATAGCCCCACTGGAACACGACCGTGTTTTTGGTGCTCCTCTGTCGTGTTTTTTAGGACGAGGCGTGTCTCTCCCCCATTGCAAAACACGGGCGGACAGGGGTCAAAATACGACCGTGTTTTCAACCCTAGGTGCCCGTGTTTTTTAGTGCGAGGCTGTGCAGGGTTAATGGCAAAACACGGGCGGACAGGAGAATAAACACGGCCGTGTTGCAAACCCCTGGCGCCCGTGTTTTTACCGCCGAGCCTGCCTCTGCACAATCTCAAAACCACGATTTCAAACAACAAAACCTCATTCATGCCCCGGCTCGAAAAATACACAGCCACAGATGAAAATAGACCACCCCAGGCAGGAAATACTTTCCAGACAGACTCAATGACTCAAAAACCGACAAAATCGAAAAGGAAAAAGGGAAAGAAATGCAAACCGTGGCGGGGTTCCCTCCACACAAGCAGTTCTTTTACGTCTTTAGCTGGATGCAGAGGGTGGATGCTCAAAGCGGTGTAGGAACAGGTGCCTCAAAGAGCGAATCCACATTGCTCTTGAGGTACAACTTCATATGGTGGCCATGCACGCGACAGAGGTGACCACCAGCAGTTGTCAGCTCGACCTGGACAACCGGCAGGATGCAAGCGAGTGAATACGCGGATGGCCAGGGCGGTCGTGGCTCAGGAGCCGGGACCAGTTCATAGTGGTCTCCAGCTTTCTTTTGAGCAGGTGTATCTACGTGCCGCTTCGGCCGCCACTCCTCCTTAATCCACTCTTTTGGTAACTGAGAAAGCGGGAGTGGTGGAGGAGGAGGGGGTGCAAAGTCCTGCAAAATGGGAGACACAGAAGGATACACGACAGCCTCGTGTACTTGGTGAGATAAAGCATGCACATGCGAGATAACATTCATATTATTAGCAATGGAAAATGTTGTATGCTCCTTGCCATCTCTCAAAGTCAGGGTCCCATCATGCACATTTATGAGAGCCTTGGCGGTGGCTAGAAAAAGCCTGCCTAGAATAAGCGGCACTTCTACGTCTTCATTGATGTCTAAGACAAATAAATCCACAGGATAAAAGAATATGCCAACCTTAACCAAGAGGTCTTCCACTATGCCCCTAGGATAAACTACAAATCGGTCAGCTAATTGAATAGTCATCCTAGTTGCATTTGGTTCCCCTAGGCCTAGTTTATTGAATAATTTATATGGTATAACGTTGATACTAGCGCATAAATCTGCCAAGGACCTCTCTATATGCAAATTACCAATAGAGCACGGGATAGTAAAACTACCTGGGTCCTCTGCTTCTTCAGGAGCTTGTTCTGCAAGATGGCCAAACACTGCTCGCTAAGCTCCACAGTGGCCAGCTTGCTCAACTTGTGCTTTTTCGAGAGACGGTCCTTCAGGAACTTCGCATACTTAGGCATTTGAGATAGTGCCTCCAGGAAGGGAACTTGAACATTCAGCTTCCTAAGCATCGACATGAAGTTCCGAACTCTGCCTCTAGCCGATCTTTGTGCAACCGAGTAGGGAAGGGAAGTTGAGGGACATACTCCTTCACCACCGGTTGAGGCTTAGGAGAAGGCACCTTAACCTCCTTCTTCGTTTCTTCTTCAATAGTTGGAAATGCTAAAACAGGTCTCTCTCCCGCCTGTCTGCCCAGGATAGGTGGGTCTGCAGTCACTTTGCCACTCCTTGTAGTGATAGCATTACAGTGGGAATTCAGGTCCTTTGGATTAGAAATGGTATGACCCGGCATGATACCCGGAGCCCTCAGTGCCATTGCTTGAGCCACACTCCCTAGATGGGTTTGGATATCCTGCAAAACAACCTGTGTGTTCCTCTGGCCAGCTTCAAGAGCCAGGAATTAACTCGAGGCATTTTCCATGAACTGCTCAATAGTGTTGAATTTATGAACACTAGAACTGGCAAGAGAACCCACCAAGTCCCGCAGTTCAGCTATCAGATCATTCTGCACTAGGGTTGCAGAAGCTGCACATGGCTACTGGAAAGGTCGCGACTGCGGTTGAGTAGCCTGCCCCTGTATGGGGTGGTAGAGAGACTGCTGCTGTTGCTAGAATTGTCCCGGCCTGGGCTGATATGGCGGTCTCTGGAAGCTTGGAGGTCAGTGGGAGACGGGCGCCTTAGGATTATTTCCATTCCATGAGAAGTTGGGATGCTGGCGCCACCCCTCGTTATACGTGTTGCTGTAAGGGTCGAAATGCCTGGCATTGTCGATGAAGTCCAACTGCTCCTGGGGGGTAGTAGATTCCCTCATTGCCTAACAGTCTTCTACGGTGTGACTGCATTGGGAGCTCTCACACCATTGGCAATGCATTGCCTGTTGATGCCCTGTCCCAGCAATCATCCTTGTCCGATCAATAGTTGTTACCAACTTAGATACAACCTGCACCAACTCAGATGAATGGGTGTCCACAGCATGTACACCCTGGCCTGGTGCTCGCCTAGACCTCCTAGCAGTTCCCTAATCATATCCTTTCTCTGCCATCTCTTCAAAGAGTCGATTTAACTGCGATCGCGTCTTAGTCAGCATGTTCCACCCATAAACCGAGTCAATCAGCTGCTTGTCTTTGGGGAATAGGGTGTGGCAGAAGGTGCCCACCTTGAAGGCGTCATTGAAACCATGATTGGGACACTTTAGGAAGAGACTGGTGTATCTCTCCCAAGCATCCCATATGGTTTCATATTCCTCCAGGGCAAAATGAGTAATCTGCTTTTGCAGGTCCGCCGTCTTTGAAGGAGGATGATAGCATGTGAGGAACTTGTCTGCTAGGTTGGCGAAAGTGGTGATCGGTCCTGGAGGCCGAGTGTCCAGCCACTCCTTGGCCTGTCCCTCCACAGTGATGGGAAGTATCTCAGCTGGATGGCATCGGCATGGACCCCACTTATCTTGATCCCATCAATCAACTCGTGGAATCGCCGAAGGTGCGATATGGGACATTCCCCCTCCTTTCCACGGAATACCACCGAGCCGCGTAGCATGGTGATGATAGAGGTACTCACCTCAGAGTTGTTGGCAGCAACTTGAGGGTGTTGGATGGGGGACCTCATGTCTGTGGCTCGGGCGGTCTAGTAGTATCCCATGTAGTGCTCCTCGGGAATGACCGCATCATTGTTCTGTGGCTCACCCATGCCTTCCTCTTGGTTGATGTGCAGCTGTTCCAAAGCTTCCTTCGCAGCCAGTCGTGCTTTCAAAGCTCTCTTGAAGTTGCGACAGGTTCGTTCAAGCTCCTGGTCCAAAGGCAGTAGATCTCTCGACTGGCTACGGGTCATGCACTACCTGCACACAGTATGCAAACACAACCCGTGAATGCACATAGGTGGAAGAGAGAGAATGCAGTAAAGAAAATGCTGAAGTAACAGACTTTCACGTTTCTACAATAACCTAGAATTCCCCGGAAACGGCGTAAAAAACTTGACACGCTATGACACAACACCAAACTACGACCAAGTATAATTGCAGTCCGGGAATGCAGAATAGTGGCAAGTTCAATTTATCAACCCGGGGTCTAGATCTACTGCCTATTCCATGATTATCTATTATCTAGCGGGACTAAGTTTAGTGAGAGTGATTGTAAACAAAAGCAATAAGAAAGCAGGAGATTGTTCGGTTTTCAAAAGCAAGGGGAGAGTCACTCGGGAATGACTAATGAGTCCCCCTAGCTCCTTAGTTAGGTCCAAGTTGTATTTTCCTTTGGTTGATTTACTGTTGATTAAACTGCGGAAGATCCAACAGTAGCTTGGAATCTCTTAAACTGACCAAGCCCTCTTAGACAGAATAATCGGTAGATCGGGATAGAAAGCTAAGGCAATTAACACAAAACTCCACTACTAGAATTGGATTGTAGTACAAAGCAGTGAATTGACTAACTCTCGTATAATCAATTCACTACTACCAATTGAAGAAGCTCTAACAACCTAATAAGATTCTATCTATCTCAGGGTTGCAGCAGAAATAAAAAAAAAGTTGATCAGGCTTCAATTGACTCAATAAACACACTTCAATCGATTATAATCAAGCAGTATATCAATCCAAATGTCATTACAATCAAGATCCCTAACACATGGAACTGGGATTCTTCATACCCAAGTGAGAGAGAGTTCTACTCCATAGAGGGAGAGAGAGTGAGAGAGAGAGAGAGAGAGAGAGAGAGAGAGAGAGAGAGAAGAAAACAGAATACAAAGCAGTCATACTCATAATGATGGGAAGAATCTGCTCTGTGATGATGATCTTCACTCCAAGGACGAAATCCAAGCTTGATTGATGAAATCCAGCTCCACAATCAATCATAGGGTTTGTTCTTCTCACTTTCTCTCTCTAGAACTCAGTTTTTGCTTTGAAAATTCGTGTCACTTTCCTTTGGCTCGAATTTGCCAGTTTAACCCGATATTGTCTAATACACGGTCGAGGACACGACCGTGTTTAACTTTGTCCGCCTGTGTTCTGTCCTCACGTGGAGAAGTATACTCTCGCGTTGAATAAAACACGTGTGTGTCCTAAGAGTGACACAGGCGCAATGCAGTTAAAAGCGCGATTTTACCTAGAAGCGGAAAATGGGTAAAATCGTAAAACGTAGAATCAAAGCGTAAAATCGTAAGTTTTTTACGCACCCTCTAAAATAGCTAAAATATGTTAAGTACAACATATAGTATGTAAAATGTAAGTGTGTAGATTTTGGATAAGTGAATAGCTACATGTAATTCATAATTAAAATATAATATCTAACACATAAACTAATTTGCGTTGACTCAAAAGTAGAGAAAACTCATAGCATCTTAATAATAAGCTCATAAACGTAGATCGTAACCCGTAAACGAGATTGAGAATCCAAATTCTCATAAGCTGGTTTGAGTTTACATAATTACATACGATCAATTACCCATAAACTTTCATCGTAACCCAGGTAAGAGCCACATGTGAAGATTAAGGGAGAAGACTGATAGAAGGTCAGCGGCTGTTGAGAATACCATTAGGTGTCTTTTCAACCTAATGTGAAGCCCCTATTTCGACACTAATTGTAGAACGAGTGATGAATCATGTTTTCCTTTTTTATTTTTTGCTGATATGTCTCCAAAATTACATCATTTTGGGCCCATTAGCACATTTTTATGAGATGATCAAAATCGTTTAAAAACGCTTCAGAATAGCGATTTTATCGATTTTACCCATGTTTTTGCCAGTTTTTGTGACTAAGCGACTTTAGGTAGAAACTGAAACGTTTTGGTGACCTGGATACGTAACGTAATTTTTTGCGTTTTAATGCGTGATTTTGACTACACTGCACAGGCGTATCCTAAGAGTGACACAGTCGTGTTTCAGAAAAGTTGCGCCTGTGCTTTGGACTCCTCAGGAGCAACCACCAACAAGCTCTCGGCATAAAAAACACGGGTTGGGGACATGATCGTGTTTTCTGTGAATGGCGCCAGTGTTTGCTCCTTGTATCGATTCAGCTCGCGCACTAAAAAGCAATGTCGTGCCCCTTAGTGAATACGACCGTGTTTCTAGAGTAGTCTGCCCGTGTTTTGTCCCATCTTCACCGAATGATCTCCAAACACGCCGAAACTCGTGCCTAGCCCTCCCTTCGACGTATGGGACCTGAAATGTGACAAAAGAGCACTACCCAGCGTAAAATAGGCCAAAGATACACGATTACGAGCCGCAAATGGATTAGAAATAAGGGTGCAAACATGTGCAAATACATCATTATCAGAGATTGCATGGAAACCCCCCACGTGAAGGTTGGATCCAAGTTCAAACGAACGTATCTATCATTCAACCATTTGGATAAGCTGCTGTAGGAGGTTTTTTTAGAGATCACCTTAGCAGGTGCTTGGGGGTGTTTACTTCCATTCTTGGGAACTGCTCGATAACCAGAGCAGAGCTGAAAGGAGTTGCTAAAGGCCTTGAGCTTACGTGGCGTCTTGGCTATAGAAGGGTTGAACTAAATCTTGACTCAACCACGACATGAAGCATCATCAACAACAGAGATCAAACTGATCACTGCCACGACTCTATTGTCGAACATTTTGGGAGCATTTTAAGGGGGGATTGAGTTGTCGAAATTAAGCATGTATATCGTGAATGTAATTTCGCACCTGATTTCCTTGCTAACAAGGGTCACTTCTTTACTTTTGATTCGCATCTTTTCAATGTGAGCGATCCAAACATCTGTTATTTGGTTATTCTACAACATGAGCATTTCCATTAGTCGTAAGGTTAATGTTATGATCTAGATTTAGGGTGCTGTTGCACCTCTCTTCTACCCAAAAAAAAAAAAAAACCCTAGTGCTCAAAGAATTCACCTTTACTTCGTTGACTTATTGATTCTCTAATATTTCGGACAATTGGTTACAGAATTTATACGACTCACCACACCGAAAATGTCTCTCTCTCTAGAAACCCCCTCTCCAAACTTTCTCTCTGTTTTTTCAAATGTTAGATCTGGAATCCCAGAAGCATCCTTTAATGAAGGTGCCCCCTCTTCCTCCTTAGAAACTCTAATGGAGACGTTTAATGTCTGCTGCCTCAACTCAGCGAAAGATCCCATCAAAGGCCTTGTCCTGCTGTTTAATGCGAGCAACTCTTCTTCTCAACAAACTATCCATGGAGTTAATGCAAACAGATCTGCTCTGTGCTTACAGCAGATACCCCCCATTCAAAGCTCCATTCTAATTCTCAACAACCTAAGCCTTCTTCACCGCTTCCTTTCAAAGCTCCATTCCTTAAACAAGAATATTCTCATCAATATGTCAGGGACTTGGGAGAAGAGGAAGAACTTCAGCCTCTTTAAACCGCCAAAAGCTAGCAGCAGATCTTCCAGCGGCCACGAATCCCTCGAGCCCCAAAATCGGAAGAGTATAACTCCTCCGAGACATCCAATCTCACCAACCGATAAACCACCATTAATGAAAGATTGGATGGATAACTACTATCCCTCCCCAGTTCTATTTAACCTCCAGATTCCCCAATACCAGTTACCAGATACCACACCACCACTCAAAATCTACCTCTTTAAATCTTGCCCCCTTCCCATTCAAAATCTACCCCAATACCAGTTACCAGATAGCACACCACCACTCAAAATCTACCTCTTCAAATCTTGCCCCCTTCCCATCCAAAAAGACTCTGCCCTCAACCCTCTGATGGAGAATCCGGCAATGAACAACCTGCTGAGCCAAGATCCAAACTGGGAAGCCGAGGATTATGAGGCAGTCTTCACCGATGAGATTCCTCAGCCTTCTGGTGGTACTCTCCTCCGCCTTGTGGGGCGTATTTTTGGAGATAGGGAAGTCAGTAAGCGAGCCATAGTGGGAATGATTAATGGGGCCTGGTCCCATTTCTGTGAGCCAACTATCCGAGAAGTGCATAAATCCAGGAACACATTCATCTTCATCTTCAACCTCAAGGAAGAAATGGACCGTGCCTGGGAAGGGAGGCCATGGCAGGTTTCAGGGAACACCCTTCAACTGAAGCAATGGGTGGATTCTGTTCGGCCGCAAAACGTCAACTTTGACTTGGCCGATTACTGGATCCAAGTGCATGGTATACCTGATCACAAGCGTACTGTCTCCAATGTTGAAGCGGCAGTTGCAATGTTCCCCAAAATCCATGGCATTGACATGAGAGGTCTGAACCCAGATAAGTACATGGAATTCATCCGGGTGTTTATTCAGGCTGATATAACCCGCCCCCTCCCCCCTGGTTCCTACTGCACCACCAATGGAGTCAGAGAATTGCTTGGTTTCAGATATGAAAAACTTTACATCCTCTGTTACTACTGCGGAAAACAGGGGCACGGCAAACAGGAGTGTCCAAAGAAGAGGCAGGATGTTGAACAAGGATTAGCTGCTGCTCCCGAAGGCAGATTCACTCCATGGATGAAAGCAGGGACTAGAGCTACTCGTCCTCCCCCTCCTCCCAGAGGCAGAATCGTCCACAACTCTCCAGGCGATGCCGGATCGAGCACGGGATCCCCAGGATTCGTTCAAAACCAACTCTGGATTCCAGGAAGGGAATCACCGGCCACCGGAAATTTCATTCCAGGATCCCCGATGACTCCCTCTACCGACGGCCGCGACCTTGGTATCCGGGGCCCACCGGGTTTCACACCCCACCGTTTCCCAACGGACCTTTCTGCGGCAAGTCCGAGGTCGGTCTCGGGGCTCACCCCACAACGGAACTTTCCTCCACATCAGATGCCCTATGGAACAACACACTATCTCCCTCCTTCTGTCAATGTCCGCTCATCCCCCACTATTGCTCGAAACCTAACGGCGGAAATGGAGGCAGCCTCATCTTGGGCCCACCTATACCCTTACCAAGCTGATTTCTGCAATGGGCCTTCACAAGCCCATCAATACCAGATGGGGATAAATATATATCAGCCGCCTCTCAGCATAAAAGCTAACCAGATCCAGCCCAACCAACAGCATGTCTCCCAAATTGTTGAAGATCTGGGTATTAAGCTTGACCTCAACAGAAGGCCCAACGATTTTGAGGCTTCTTTCCCTGCAAATAGACTTGAGGAAGGCCAAGCTGAACCTAAGAAGAGGAAACAAGGCCAGCCTTTAGACTTCTCATGGCCTATGTTCACTCCAGGAGAAGGCCCCAGCAAGCCTAGCAAGCCCAGAAATGCTAGAATTAAGGTAAAGGGACGTAAACAGCAGGTAACAGCAGGAGATGAAAAACCAGAATTTTTTGAAGAGACAGAAGAAGCTCTCAAACAATCACAGGTTTCTAACTCTGAGGTGAAGGTGGCCAGCCTTAAGCCACCAGGGTTAGAATGAGTTGTATCAGCTGGAACTGCCGGGGAATTGGGCAAACCCGGACAGAAAATCATCTTCGAAGAATGATAAGAAGATTTCGCCCCTCCATTATGTTCCTAATGGAAACTATGAACACAAGAGAAACAATGGAGCAGCTAAGAATCAGCAACAATTTTCACAGGGGAGAATATGTCAACCCGGAGGGGACAGCGGGCGGCCTTGCACTATGGTGGGCAGCGGGTCTTCCACTCCAAATTTTGGATTGCGGACGGAATTTCTTTGATGTTTTTATTAACTTTGGGGGTGGTTTTTATATTACCTTTGTTTATGCCCCCTCTGTTCCTAGTGAGAGAAGGACCTTTTGGGATAGTTTATCTAGTTTTAGAAGTGAACCTAATGTACCTTGGGTTGTAATCGGGGACTTGAATGCCATGTTATTTGACTATGAGAAGTGTGGAGGAGGGGCGCCAAGAAGAGAATCCGTAGTACCATTCAAGAACTTCATTTTCGATAACGGATTAATTGACATGGGCCACAAAGGACCTCAATTCACATGGAGCAACAAACGAAGAGGTCATAGCCTTATCAAAGGTCGTCTTGATCGTGCCCTTTGCACCCCATCTTGGCGTGCGATCTTTGACGAGGCGGTTCTCTTCCATGACAACGATGTCGGCTCTGACCATCGAGCCATAAGGCTTGAATTCCATTCTCCTGACTCCACTAGGAGAAGACCTTTCCGCTTCGATGATCGATGGCTTGGGAAAGATGAATGTGACCAAGTGGTACTCAACGCATGGGCAACAGAAGGGACTCATGATCAAAAACTGAAAAGATGCGAAGAAAATCTCAAAACGTGGGCAAAAGGTTTGAGAGAAGCCCAACAACAAAAGGAAACTGAAATAAAAAATCGACTTGAGCATCTCGCCCAGTGTTTCCGATCGGATGAGGTACTGGAGGAAGAAACGAAACTGTTGGAGGATCTGGATGCAATTTGGAGGGACGAAGAGAGAATGTGAAGGCAGAGATCGAGGGGTAACTGGTTGGCGGAAGGTGACCAAAATACGAAATTTTCCACAACTCCACTGTTTACCGGAAACATTTCAACAGGATCATTGGTCTCAAAGACTCTGAAGGGAATTGGATCAGGCAGCCGGACCTCCTCTCGGCCCACTTATCCAATTTCTACAAGGAGTTATTCAAAGCAAAAGATTCAGTTCTTGATGAGAACCTCCTCGCCGACTTCCCTCGCTTTGTGACTGATGATATGAATGTAGAGCTTAGCAAGCCGGTCTCAAGGGAAGAAATCAAGCAGGCGGTGTTCTCTTTGGGGCCTCATAAATCCCCTGGACCTGACGGTTTCTCTGGGATCTTCTTTCGAAAATACTGGAGCATTGTTGGGGATGATTTGTGCAAGGAAGTTGAATCCTTTTTTGCAACATCTACTATGCCTCCTGGATGGAACGACACACATATTGCTCTCATCCCAAAGGTTTCATCGCCTGAATTTGCATCTCAATTCCGTCCTATTAGCTGCTGCAACTTTAAGTACAAGGTGGTTTCCAAGATCATGTCATCTCGTATCAAGAAGTTCATGCCATGCCTTGTGTCAGAAATGCAAGCTGCCTTCACTGGTGGACGATTGATTCAGGACAACATTATTATTGTTCATGAGGTTCTGCATCACTTCAAAAAACGTAAAAAAGGAAAGAGATTTGATATGATGCTCAAGATGGATATGAGAAAGGCTTTCGATCTTGTTGATTGGAACTGTCTTGGAGCGCTCTTGAAAGCATATGGGTTCAATCACTCATGGTGCGGGTGGGTCATGGAATGCATTCGCACAGTTCGATTCTCCATCCTGTTCAATGGAGGACCGACGGATTTCTTCATCCCATCAAGGGGAATTCGACAGGGAGACCCCCTCTCCCCTTTCCTTTTTATCCTTATGTCGAATGCCCTTTCCTTCTTACTTGACAGGAGTGTTTCCCGGGGCACTATCCAAGGGCTCAAAATGAAACCTAACTGTCCACGCCTCTCCCATTGTCTGTTTGCAGACGACACCGTCATTTTTGGCAAAGCCTCGATGGAGGAGGCACAAGAGATTTTGGCGATCATAGACACCTACAAATCTCTGACAGGACAAGAGGTCAACATGGAAAAATCATCAGTCTTCTTCAGCAAGAACACCCCCGATGAACTCCGACAGCTTATCACAATCTCTTTGGGATTCCCATCATCCATCCACCATGATAAGTACCTGGGGGTCCCGGCCGATTGGGGGCGCTCAAAGAAAGAAACATTTTCCTTCCTAATCGAGAGGATGGAAAAGAAAGGGGAATCTTGGAAGAGTCTCACGCTCTCGCATGGGGGAAAGGAAACTCTTCTCAAAGCCGTCATCCAAGCACTCCCAACCTACATCATGAGTGTCTTTCTCCTTCCAGCAACTCTAACGAAGAAAATGGATTCTCTTCTTCACAGATTCTTTTGGTCGGGTTCTATGAGGAAAAAATCCATCCATTGGCGCAAAGGAGAAGTCCTCAGCGACCCAAAATCTGAAGGTGGGTTGGGTTTCCGGAATTTTCACTGTTTTAACCTCTCTCTGCTTGCTAAACAGTGTTGGCGTCTCCTCAATGAGCCGGAAGCCTTATGGGCCAGAGTTCTCCGTGGCCTTTACTTCCCGAATGGCGTGTTCTCCACGGCACGAAAAGGTGGTGCCTCTTCGTGGATTTGGGCGAGCTTCTGTGAAGCAAGGCAGGCCCTGGATATTGGTGCAATTCGTGTCATTGGATCGGGGGAGACCACTTGGTTCCACAAAGACCCTTGGATCTTCCCACTCCACAACCAAGGGCATAAATTATCATCAAACCTTGAACCTCCCTCTCGGGTAAAAGACTGGATGAATGAAGATGGTTCAAGCTGGAATTTTGACCTCTTGAGAAGACATTGTACATCTGAGGAAGTTGAGGCCATTTCGCTTATTCAGATAGCCCCGGAGGGTACTGAAGACTTTTGGGCTTGGAAATTCTCCCCCAATGGAGAGTTCTCTGTCCGCTCTGCTTACCACGGGTTGAGGAACCATCTCCGTCAACAAAACCAGACCAACCATCATGACCTCAACATGCCTGCTTCTGACGACAATTGGAAATGGCTCTGGTCTCTCAAGCTTCCTCCAAAAATCAGATTTTTCATGTGGAGATGCATCCGAAACGCTCTGGCGACCAACCTCAACCTATTTCGGCGCAGATGTGCACCTTCTCCGGCATGTCAGCTCTGCAGATCTGCGGAAGAATCCTCCATCCATTGCCTGTTCCTCTGCCCTCATGCCGCTGAAACCTGGAATAAGGTTCTCCCCTCATTTACTCCTCCCCATAATCTCACTCAATGGATTTTCGGTCTGAAAAACCACGCGGAGCAGTCTTCCATCCGCCGCCTCATTTTCTGCATCTGGAACATTTGGAAGGCTCGAAATGAGAGTATTTTTCGAGGAGCTCCTCTGTCTCCAACATTCACTTCGATTTGTGCTTTCCGGGAAGCAGCAGAACCTCATTTCACTCCTCGTCATCCTGCCCCTTCTCCACAGCCTCGAGTTCTCCCATCTCAATCATGTCCACCGCCTAGCAATCTTCGACAGATTCACTGTGATGGTTCGTTTGAATGTGAATCACAGACGGCGGCTTTCAGAGTGGTTATTACCGACTCTAACGGGCAGATTTGCGATGGGAAGGCTGGAAGGATCATTTGTTCATCCCCGATTGAGGCCGAAGCTACAGCCATCCTTGAGGCTTGTCTTTTTGCAACCAATGATCGTGTTCCCTCGATGATCCGTTCAGACTGCAAGATTTTGGTTGATGCCATTCACAGCGACCCGGCAACTTGGCCTTGGCGTTGTTATGCTACCCTCTCCTCTATCACCAGCATCCTGCGCAGCTCCCAGTGGATCCATGTCTCCTTCACTTGTCGATCGAACAACAAAGAAGCTGATTGGGTTGCTCGCAACTGTAGACTTAATACCCTCCACGCCAATTGGCTCTCTGTCTTGGTTGTAATTTCCAGCATGCTGTAGCTTCTCTGCCTCTTTTGGGCTTGAATGAATGAAAGTATTATTCAAAAAAAAAGGTTACAGAACTGACTGGTCCACGGTCCACATAAAGAGACCCATTTTGTTTCCTTTTCTTTATTTGGGGAACAACACCCATTCAAGTTCAAGTACTCTCTCGAGTCTCGCCCCATTCCATCACTTAGCTAGCTATTCCTTTTTCTCTTCTCCACTCAAAGCTAGAAAACAGATATGGCGACGCACAACATTACCCCGTCCAGAGACGTTCTTGAGTCCGTCGGCGAGAAGAACTACGACAACTGGAGCGCCTGCCTGAAATCCTACCTTCTCTCTCAAGACCTCTGGGACTTGGTCGAATCACCAAAACAAATCAGCACTATTCCCCAAGCAAACGCCGCCGCCGAAGATAGCGACGAGATCGCTGCTTCAGATACGGTTCCCGGAGTTTCCACGGCGGCGGCGAGTAGTACTATCAGTAGTCCGGCGTGGCGGAGGAGGAACGCGGCGGCTCTGCACGCGATTCAAATTTCCCTAGGCTCCTACATTCTCCACGAGATTCGGGAAGTCAGTTCGGCGAAGGAAGCATGGGCTGCTCTGGCCGATATGCACCAGAAGAAGCTCCCCAAGGACGAGCCCGGAGCTGGAACCGATCAGCAGCAGATCGACGCCGGTAAAGCTAATTTTAATTCAATTTAATTGAAGGGCGTCGTTAATTAATCTCCTTAATTGTTAATTAATAGTTGTTTCGGATGACATGATTAGTTAATTTATATGTCCTTTGAGTGATTAGGCCTTTTCTTGAGGACTAATTACGGTGTTGTTGAAAAGGGGGGCAAAAGTTTTAACAATAGGTTAGATTATAAATCTGCAATTAACATAAGTGATGGGGCAAGGTAATTTCTTTCTAAAGCTTGCATAAGCAGGAATGATGAACAACAGAAACAGAGCATCACGCTACTTCCGCCTGGTATCACGAGTGCGGGAAGGTGACATCGAAGGGCTCCGCGAATTTATCAGCGAGAACCCGGAGTCGATCCGGTTCCAGTTCCCGCCGGGGCTAGGGACGGCGCTCCATCTGGCGGCGAATCTGGGGAAGACGGAGGTGGTGGAGGAGATGATGGAGTGGGCTAACGAAGAGGACCTCGCAATTCAGGACGCCGCAGGGAGCACGGCGCTTCACTTCGCAGCGTCGAGCGGGCACCGCCGGATGGTGGAGCTGATGGTGAGGAAGAATGCGAATCTGATGACGATCGTTAACAACAGGAAGATCATCCCGCTGCGAGAGGCTTGCGGGAAGAACCATAAGGAGCTGGCTACATTCCTGTATCGAGCCACCCCTTTCACTTGGCTGTGTGAAGAGAATGATGGCAGGTATGGTGCTAATATCCTAAAGTGCTGCATCCTCGGCCAAATGTTCGGTAATATTGCCTTGCCTCCTACATATATACTTCCTCACAAGTCACAAATTGTTGGTTTTGGTGGTGTTCTAACGAGCATTAATTATCAATCAGACATTGCTCTGGATATGGTGAGCCGTCGGCCGAGTATGGCTACGACCATGGATACCAACAGATGTAATGCTGCTATTCAATTAGCTTTGATGCCCGCCGCATTCCCTAGCGGCACCCAACTTCCCTTTTGGCTGCGATGGGTATACTCATGTTAGTATGCCGATATTCCAAATCCATTTCATTGTTACTGAGTGTTTCGTTAGCTAATTCGTTGAATTGATCTATACCCAGGTGAATAATCTTTTCTATTGTTTATTTGTAGCAGTAATGTTTTTTTTTTTTGAAAAATTGTAGCAGTAATGGATGTAAGGCTACCGAGTCCTTTGCGCTCTTCAAGAGATCGCGGGGGCTCGGGGATGGATTCGTCGGAAGAAGAAGAAGGTGAAGTGTTGGGACTAATGAAATCTCCAAGTGATTACGATGTTCAGATAGATACACGTAAATTGAGCAGCAAACCCAAATCACGGTTTGGGATGGATTCATCGGAAGCTATCCGGATTAAGTCACCAAGGCGTCCACGAAATAATGATGAGATTGGAATAGAAATCCGTAGACCAAGTAGCACCACAGTTGGCAAGGTAAGAGCTGCCTGCGGCAACACTTTTCCCTTTCTTTCTTCCGAATTCTGAAACTGGGATCGGGAATTTAACAGTCTGAACAAATACCCTTTTCTGCACAGTCCGATACTAAGTTTCAAACCTACAGCATAGCGCCTCCAATTGAGTTTTTAGTTAGGCTATAATTTGTTAGGGGTTCAAACACTTCTTATGGTTATTTATTTCCATTTTTAGCTTCTTATAAGGAAATCTTGTTTATGTCAGGACAGAATTGGTGCAATGATCCACCCTCGTTTATTCTGAAAGTCACGGGTACGTTAACAATTCTTGAATCATATATAACTTGGTTCACATCAGAACAAGCAAAAATGTAACAACTTCTTTGAACTTGTTTTTCCACCAGGAACTCGGCACATATATGACCTCAAAAGGGTGCACGTTTGCTCACTCGAACTCCTGGACCGCATCTGCCGACACATTTCTTGGTTAGATTTCGGGAAGCTCGAAGGCGCCGGGTTGTACGAAGCGTTCCACAACGCCATAAAGAACGGCATTGTGGAATTCGTGAAGAGGGCAGTGAAAGCACGGTCCTCCCTGCTCTACAAATACGACAAGAACGGCAGGAACATGTTCATGTCGGCGGTTGAGTTCCGGCAAGAGAAGATCTTCAACCTTATGTACCCGTTACCGGACAGGGCCGCCATAGTGTCCATGGTAGACAAAGACAAGAACACATTGCTGCATATGGCCGGCATGCTGTCTCCGTCCGCCAAGCTTTCTCACATCTCGGGTGCTGCTCTTCAGATGCAGAGAGAATTGCAGTGGTTTCAGGTAGTTGGCACTTTTTCAATATTCAAAGTTTGTTATTTACTTCTCGCCACATACATTCATGTTCTCACGCATTTGGATGGACGCAGGAAGTGGAAAGGGTGATAAACCCAATGTACAAGGACAACACCAACAACGACGACGAAACCGCCAGGCAAATCTTCACAAGAACCCACAAGGACCTGGCCGCCGCGGGGGAGAAATGGATGAAGGAAACCGCAACGTCATCCACCGTCGTCGGGGCCCTCATCATGACCATCATGTTCACGGCGGCGTTCACCGTCCCGGGAGGGAACAACCAGGAAACCGGCATCCCAATCCTCCTCAACGAGAAATCATTCAAAATCTTCATCGTCTCCGATGCCATCTCCCTCTTCGCCGCCTCCACTTCGGTCCTAATGTTCCTAGGAATCCTCACTTCGCGATACGCCGAGGCCGACTTCCTTCGCTCCCTGCCGACCAAGCTGGTCATCGGACTGTCGTCGCTGTTCATCTCGATTGCGGCCATGATGGTCACGTTTTGTGCGACCGTTATGATCGTTATGGAGCGGCGGTTGGAGTACGTGGTGCCGATTATATTGTTGGTGAGTGTTCCAGTGACGTTGTTTATGCTGTTGCAGTTTCCTCTGCTGGTTCAGATTTTCAGGTCGACTTATGGGTCGGGAATTTTCGAGAGGAAGATGAAGCCTTGGCTTTGAATGTAAAGTTCCAAATTATGTAATCACCATTCATGGCTGAGCCACACTAGATAGCCTCACATTATTATCAGGCTTCGATTGACTTGTGTACCAAGTAGAATTAGTATAGCATAAAGATAGGAAATGGTATTCCTCGGTGCTTTACATGCATTAATAATCAACATCTATTCATTATCTATCCAATTTAGATTGTTTTCCAAATTAACTACCAACTAATCCCTACTACTCAATTATACTCAATTAAGCCAAGCTTGGATCGTGATCCAAATAGCAATGGACCAAGAGGAAGGTTGGGTCGAGGCCCGTGGAGGTGTCCCCCCTAGATTCATCACTGATTGAGGCATCTAAAACTTTTTAGATTTATATACTAAGTTGCCCTAGTTCACATAGAGGTTGAAGCTCACTTTCACGCAATTTTTTCCATCTTTTTCGTTCATATGTGTTCTAAACTAAGAAAGGGGATTTCTCCGTCTAAGCTGCGAGCCAAAAAGTACTCAAAATCGATGAACTTTGAAAGTCAATCACACGACATGAATATTTATCAAAGCGAATCATACAAGCATTAATCCAAACATTCAATCCTTCAACCAAACCCAAATATCTTGGGTTCATCCAACCCAAGAAACTACGAGAATTCAGTTCATGAGAAGAGCGAAAAGTGACCAAACAAGCATTAAAACATATCTTCAAAGTACTAGCAAGCTTCTTGTTCAAGATTTCTTAAATCCCCTTGCTTTTATGACGGATTTTGCGCTTTTAAGATGAGATTTCTTGCACTCATATCCTCATTGAATTTCTTTCCCTCGAACCTATCCTTGTTCTATTCTCTATACGAAAGATGAACTCCCCTTACAAGAATGGTTCTCCTCTCTTAAAACCTTATTATAATCACAATTCATGGCCTCTTTCACAATTGTGAGTGTGCTCTAAAATATGAAACGATGTGTTAGAACCCCGCTTATTAGGGTTCCTTCAGATTGACGTAACTAGATAGATTAGAAAGAAAATTTAGGGATTCAGATAAAAAAAATTAGGGATTTGAGAAGGAGAATAGAGATAGGAAGAACATAATTGAGAATTAGGGATTAGAAGAAGAGATATGGAGTATGAAAATGCTATACAGACCTTGAATTGACTGATCTTTCGGACATGATAGTGTACGCTAACCACTTCAGGCTGGATAAGAACCTTCCGCAGTATAACTGTCTTTAAATCTGGACTTGGTGAATTATAACTTGACATAACTGTAATCTAGGGGGAACTATATCCGGGTGACATCTCTCAAACTTGAACCACAACCTTTATTGCTTTGTGTTTGTTTAGCATAGTTAATACTTCACTACAGTTAAACCGCTAAATAATAAGAACTTAACGGAGTAGTTATCACATCTAGGACCCGAGTTGACAAATAAAGCTAAACCCTCTATACTACGCATCAGTAGGTGGTTGCACTTGGCCACTTTCTAGTGTGACGGTATAGGCGAGTCAATCAACAAAACCGTTGGGTTGCGTAGTTGAGCGTACTTGGGCCTCGGGGCCCAGGAAAAGCGAATTAGTGAACCAGCCCCAATTGGGTATATGGCCCGACCAGGAAGACCAGGATAGCAGGCGACCCCTAACCAAGTCTAGACCCGAGGAGTAGCTAGGGCGCCTGAAATAAAGCGAGTGACTACGATAGAAAGGTAATGTTGAGATACGTACCTCGGGTTGGGTAAGTCTAAGCATTTATTGCCCGCCGCAGGCGGTTCACATAGGGAAGAGGCCTACTCGGGATGCCTGACATAGCATTTAATGCCTTACCCACCACCACACTAGGTATAAATGAACCATGAGAGCATTGATGGTAAACTCAACTACTCTCTCTACTATAAACACATTCTCATACACTTCTCTCTCTAACTTAGGCTTTGGAGAGTGTCCTGGGCAATCGCCCACCGACCTTCGTTTTGCAGGGATCGGGAGTGCACCCTTCATTCAAGAACAGGCGCCTCGCTATTGCTCTACAAACCGCCTAGTACTTTACTAGGCACAAACAAAAACTTTTTGAACCAATGTTATGCGTTCAAAGTGAACCAAAATGGTAATGTGTTATTCAACGGAAAAAACCTTACTTCCTTGTCTCTAATTGGTTTGTTAGTGGCATGAGGTGAAAGCATACATTAACTAGTTGTTGTTTCTTTTTCAAGTGATGAAAGCTAGATTAGAAATGTATTAGTGGAAAGGATAGGGTGTCAGAATAGAATAGATGCATATGTGATTATTAAGTTAGTGTGGATGATCATCTAGATGAAGCTACCTAAATAATAGTATTATCTTATATATCTGTCCTTATTTTCTTGTTTAGTTACTCATATAACCAACTATCAACGGGTAACCTCAACTCTTCGTATTTAATTTTATTGCATCTTTCTTCGAGCATAAGTAGTCATTTACAAAGTAGCTTCTATGAAATGACCATGTATACGACCTTAGACAATTCTAATATTTATTACTTTATGTACTACAATCGCATCAGTTAGCCACATGCCAAAGCACCCAAACGGTTTAGGCTAAGTTATTAGGTGTGGCTATATGGTCCGGTTAAATTGGCCCGAATTGATCCGGTCCTAGTCTGGTCTTTTCGGGAATATAAGGACCAAAGATTGGATTGGATACAGTCCGGTCTTGATCCGGTCCGGTCCCAATTTGGTCTTGATTTTAGATTGAGCTTGTGGGGATTTCAGTGGCATGAGGCCTCAAAGAGTGCAGAGTTGGTTAAGTTTTGGGTGTTGGGGTCTCTTATCTGGTTTTCGATCTGGTCCCAAATGGTTTTTACCTAAAATCTAAGTCTGAATATGAGATTGGGTTGTTTGCTATCTGGTCCTAGTCCGGTCCCGGTCTGAGTTATACGGTCCTGTTTCGGGTAAAACCAAACAATCCGGACCAAATAGTCAGGCCTATAAGTTATGTCAAGCAAAATTGGGGTAATTAACATACCACAATGATATGAAAAATCAAGCGATAAAAATTCCACAACACTATTTGATAATTTTTTAGTCCAGTAAGTATTTACTAGAATCTGTCCAGCTTGCTGGCAACAGAGCAGTTGATTCGACCAGGTAAAAATAGGTCTTGTGGCTCTATGATCAACCAATTCCATCTACGTTAACCAACTTCTACATTCTACAATGCTACTAGAAATGGTAACCCATATGGAGCCACTCTAGGATCCAAAACAATATTGAAGTCCCTAATTAATAATGGAATCCCGGAATTTTCAAGTTCCAAGACTTCTCTATGTATCAACATGCTCCTTCTCATTGTTGGATACATAAACAACAGTGTAAGAGAATTTTTTTTTTTTTTTGTCTCTATAGTTACCATGGTTAGTAAAATACGGTACGGCGAATTCATGGATTGGTCGATGGATCCAAATGTCAAATTATGATTTAGTACCTATACTTTTTATATTTTACATTTTAGTACCTAAAATTTATTTTTTATACGAAAAATATTATTGGAAATTACGTTTGGTACCGAAATTTTTCATTTTGACATTTTACTACCTAAACTTTTAAAAATTTACAAATTGATCCAAAATTTGAATGTCACTTGATCCAATCCATGATCCACCTATCCACTTGATCCAATCCATAAATCCACAAATCCAATACACTAATCCGTAAATCCAATAATTTGCTACCTCCACATACTTTTCGGTATCTCTTCAAACAACTTCGAGTAACAATCCACCGTATAGGTGGGCGGCAAGAAGAATCAAGGATAACATAACCATTTTAAGAGAAAATAGGTTTTCACACCCGTGCTTCACAATTGACGAGACATGGAGCGTGAAAGTCCAAAGTAATTATGAAATGGATTTGTTGTCATTACTTTAGTGAAGTCAACTGTGCGGAAATCGGCCCTTCATATCTTTGTGGAAGGTACTCGGGTTTTTTACTTTTTTGTGATCCCCAATTAAGGAATGAGGCAAGCTTTCTTTTTAATTGCCCCCTCAAAAAATCTAAGAGCTCTGTACATTGAGGGACATATTTTCCAATGGGAAATGAGCTCCATCACTTAACCGCAAAGAAAGACTAAAATCTGAAAACTGATTAGAGTCTTTGTTTGTATGTTTGTGTAGAGTTGTCTTTCATTCATAATTTTCGCTAACTTTACCTCAAATTCAAGAGTCCTATGTGTTATCATTCTTAGTTATACATTTGTGTGCAATCATATTTAGTCTTTTGGTTTTTAATAAGGTTAAATTTAGGGGTGAGACAAATTTTTTTTTTGTTGTTGTAATCCACTTGTAGACATTTGTACAGTTGTAGTATCTTCTTTGTTTTTAACTCTAAGTTTGGAAACATTTGCACAAATGGAATGAGTTTATTGTTATCTATAAATTATAATGGCATCTATTTTCGTTATATTTCAATGAAAATTTTTGTACCACCAATAAATACTTTATACCATCTTCGTTTCTAGGTCAAATTTTAGAATTTTTGCGGAGAAGGAATGAGTTTATTGTGATTTATAGAATTTGATATATTTATCAAATTTTTTCTAGGATCAAACATACAACCTTATACCATCCTAGTAAATGGTGGTACACGGTTGTCAATGATGGTTTAGCATATTCCTATTATCATGTATAAAACTATTTTACACAATACTATATACATACCACCAAAGCTATGAGCTACTAAATTTTATCATCAATTCATCATAGTATATTGTAGTAATATATGGCAATTTTCTGTCTTAAAATGAAACAAAGTGTATATTATGATCGCTTGCATTAGTGCTGGTATGATCGTAGATACAAAGTATATAGCATTTTAAAAAGCATGATTAATATGATTTTTCTTTTCAATAAACTTTAGAATTTTGCTATGCTGACTTGCAAGTCATCATGACTTGGACAAAATGGTCGACTGCTTCCCTGATATGGTCGACCTATTTGGACAAAATGGCTGACCTCTTTGCTGCAATGGTCTACTAGATGTACTATTTTCCATTTTGCTATGTTCAACATACGGTAGACCTCTTCCACTAAAAGGGCGACCACTTTACAAGAAAACAATCTACCATTTCCATCAAGCGGCTACCTCTTTCACCATGCGGTCCACCACTTTCAATGCCCGGTCGACATGATGAACCATTGCTAGTGATAAAATCATAAATAATTAGAGTCCAATAATAAAATATATGCTTACTAGTAAGAGATTTAAAATTAGTACAAAGGCTGCAAACATAAATGGCAAGTTTCTCGAGTGATTGTTCTCCCGTAGATTTGAAAAAAGTTATGCATATTTATTTATTATATATGACTTACTCTATAGAGATTTTCATCTTTCCTTCAAATTCTAAGTTTGCTTGTTTTTATCCTATAATTGTCTTCTAATGGATCAACTTTGTTGTTATGAAAATGCTCAAAAAGTAGAGTATAATTGTTATACAATTATATCATCTTCAACGTCCATATATCTCACATCATCTTGCTTTTGTGGATTTTTATTCCATAAGTGTTAAAAGAGGGTGTTGGTTCTTTTTGTCTTGACCTATAATCTGAATAAGGATTTGGTTGCCCACGGGTGGTAGGATGTTGCGTTGCTACAAAATAATTTTGTATTGTTGGTCTCCTATGTCCATTATTTTCCTAATATAAGTATAAGGCAACTGTGTCATCTGGTCAACCGTTTGCCGAAAGCGGAGATCGTTCGCCAAAAGAGTATGTAAACCACTTTACATAATTGGTCTCTTGTTTTGGCCAAAGCGATTTATCTCCTCCAACAAGCAGGTGTAAGTTGAAGGTAAGTGTGTCATAGGTCGACCCATTGTTGAAAGCAGTAGACCGGGTACATCAAGTGGTAGATCACTTGAAGGTAAATGTGTCATCAGGTCGACCCATTTCCGGAAGCGATAGCCTCGTTGACTCAAGTGGTAGACAACTTAGTTGAAGATGTCTATCATTTTGCAAATTATCATAGGCATGTCCTAAACTTTAAATTCTGAACTAAAAAAAACGTAAAACACAAAACAAAATGTCAAATAAGTGAAGCGGATTACAAAGGCTGAGTAGCAACTAGCAACCGATTCTACATATGTTGTGTACTGCCTTATATTTACACAATATATATTCATGAACACGACTTCATTAATCAACAAACGACAAAACCCCAATCTTCCGTTCAAAGACTCAAAAGCCAGGGCTTCATCTTCCGGTCAAACTGATTCGAGTGGGGCCCATAATTAGTCGCCCTGAAAATCTGAACCAGCAAAGGAAACTGCAGGAACATAAACAGCGTCACCGGAACGCTGGCCATCATCACAATCGGAACCACGTACAACGGCCGGTGGTCCATGACGATCATCACGGTGGCGCAGAACGTCACCATCATGGCAGCAATCGAGACGAAGAGCGTCGACAGCCCGATCACCAGCTTGGTCGGCAGCGATCGCCGGAAATCGGCCTCAGCGTAGCGCGACGTAAGGATCCCGAGGAACATCAGCACCGACGTGGAGGCGGCGAAGAGGGACAGAGCGTCGGAGGCGATGAAGATCTTGAACGCCTTGTCGTGGAGCAGAATCGGCGTGCCCTTCTCCTGGTTGTTCCCCCCCGGGACGGTGCACGCGGCCGTGAACATGATGGTGATGATGAGGGACCCGACGACGGTGGAGGACGTGGCGGTCTCCTTCATCCATTTTTCGCCGGCGGCGGCGTCGTCCGCCGATGAGCGCTGCCTTGAGCGCTCTTTGGTCTTGGTGCTGCTCAATTTGTGGAGGTCGCGGGTGGCTATTTGGGTGTCGTTGATCTCATCGTCGATGTCGTCATCCGACGAGCTCATCATCATCCCGAAGCTGTGGTCTCTCGACGAGCTCGAAGAATCTTGCAGTCTGATGACGTGGACTACTGCTACACATCAACAAAAACCCATTGATCAGCTGCTAATTGAAAGTCATAAACATCCAACCATTGAATTATGGCAGTGCTCTGATATAGTTGTCATAGATTATAACTTTTGGCTGTAAGGGGATGAACTAATAATAAGCTAAGGTGCGAATGAAAGTAGAAAAGGACAGAGGAAAGACTAACATGAAGATATCCAGCAGTACCAGCGCAGCCAGAAGACAGATCGGGCGCCCGCTAGGGGATTCAACCCGACTGGATAGTAACGGAACGTCGTTAGGGGACGACGACTCGGCATATCCAGTCGCTTGCACCAGTCATTCAACGCATCCGAATTAGCAGAAGCTGAGATCGATTTCAAATTCTGTCATGCAGCCACTTCCAGCAATATTTTTGGCTCAGAAAAAGTAGTATTGATTTCTATATGTATGCACACGGCCTCGGAATACATACATCACCTAATGTTCTCACTTCTCAGTGACACCCTTCATTAGTGAATTTATTATAAGCTTAGTTTCCCCGAGTGACGATGCAATGCTTGGGGAGCGGTGTGGTTAAGAAAATCACTGGCTCGCTCTGTGCTTGTTACTGGCTGATTTAGTCAGTGGAAAATAAGTGGAAGTTAGGTAAGTTCCTAGACCCACTCGAGACGAAGATGATGACGCGATTGAGGAGGGATTGATTTGAGTATTCTCAAATTCTGAAGTAAAATTCCATCTTACAAGATGGATAGCCACACTTTGTTTAGGGGTTCCATGATAAGTTAGGTATCGAGAACATATCGACGGAGTAAGTGAACACTTTTAGATGAAGCTAAGCGGTGATCAGTATCAAAGGGGAAATTAATATCATTTACAAACTAAATATTCTATCCCAATATTTTACAATTGCTCAAAAACTTTGTCAGCTATTAAACTATGCCTCCATGAACTTGTGGATTATTTCTTGTTGTCTGAGTGTTGAGTAATTTTTAATAATTTCAATTGAAGGAAGTAAGTGTTTAATTGTTATTTCATTTATCATATAATATAAATTGTTATTTTCGGTTTCGGCATTTTGAGACGCTTAAACGACACCCAGATGAGATAGACACTAGACAGAATCCCAACACTGCTGGCCTTATGCCTTATTGAATCCAAGTCTTGAAATGAAGTTTGGAAAACAGTTCAAATGATAAATTGGCGATGGAGGTGAAGGAAGACGATGAACCATTTTAGCACGAGAGAAATAAGAGGATGGGCATTAATGAGAAGAGTGAGGATAGGTGATGGTGGTCTCCAACTAGATGTGCATACTGCACTCACGATTCCTAGAATGCTCCGTTGTTGCCCTGCCCAGTTGGTAGGGTAAAAGACAGCGATGTAGATGGAGTGAAGCACTCTGAGCCATAAATCTGTCTGACCACTTTCATTTAGTGGCTAAATTGGCTCTCATGGAGTAACTAACTGGTTTGGAGCTGGAGCCTACCGGGATTCTGATCTCACGTTGGGGTTGGGGCCATCTTGTTGGACCATTTGCCAACAGTATCATCTTCATCTTTCTAATTATTCATCAAGGTATCCAAGTTGTTCTTCTTCCTCCGGAGGACCCATCGGCTCCACCAAGTTGGATCACCCACTCCCATCGGCCATCACTCTTCTCCTCCACAACTTTCTCCACCTTCTTCGATTTAGCTGTCAGAGACGAAGCTCTGTCTATAGCTATGGGGGACTAGAACCTTAACAATTTCGGGTCATGACGCGGGTAATTAAGGCAGAAGTAGAAGGAGTGTGCTCTGTTTCGGTTGGTTATCATTCTTGTTTGGGAGTTTAATGACAGTATTATTGTGAAACTCATACTTAATTAGTGTAAAGATTGAATCCATGAAACCTTTTAACCCTTAGCCAAAGCATTAAGAGGAGCCAGGAGGGGCACAAATCACTGCAAGATTATTAACTGGATAGTAATTAAACAAAGTGCAAAGCGGCAATTCAATTAAATAACAACTTTACCAGCATCGCCCTGCTGCTGCTGCTGCTGCACATCAGTTTCAGTTCCAGCTCCAGCTCCAACTCCAACTCCAGGCTCGTTTTGTGGGAGCTTCTTCTTCTTCTTTTTCTGATGCATACCGGCCAGAGTGTCCCAGGCCTCCTTCGCCGAACTAATTTCCCGTATCTGGTGGAGGATGTCGCAACCCAGAGAAATCTGAATCGCGTGCAGAGCCGCCGCATTCTTCCTCCGCCACGCCGGAATACTACTACCAGTAGTAGTAGTACCACTAGTCCCGGCCACGTCGCTTGTAGCGGCGGCGGCGGCGGCGGTAGTAGGTTCCGGGGGGTCGATTAAATCCCAGAGATCCTGAGAGAGAAGGTAGGTTTTGAGGCAGGCGATCCAGTTGTCGTAGCTTTTATCCCCTACGGCGTGAAGAACGTCCCTGGTCGGGATAATGCAGTGGGCCGCCATTTCTGTGTAAAGCTTTGGGAGAAAATTCTCTACCGAGACAGGAGAGGAAAGGGGGGAGAGAGAAATAGAGATGGAGAAGAAGACTCAGAAGAGTGGGGAAGAAGGAAAGGAAAAAAAAAAAAAAAAAAACTAGAGGCTGTGGTGAAATCTCAGTACAATTGGGTTGGCGCAGCGGAATTGGATGGATTGCAAGAAGAAAGGGACAAGCTTAATGGCTAATGCTGTGTGTGAGAAAAATGCATTTCCTTTTGGGAGAAAAGGAAAGCATACTGACTCCCTTCCGTCTGTGGTTTTGGAACGGAGTGAAGTGAAAATGAGAGCCCGAGGGCGAAAGACGAAAAGTAGAATGGAACCTAGAGAGAAGGTGTTGACACCTAAAATTAATTTGGCCGGAATTAAATGCCGCATTAATTAGTCTCGGCATATAATCCGATATCGTAGGTAAAAAACGGTGTCGTTTGGAGACGAGCGGTGTCGCGAAGAGTTAAAACGATACCGCGAAACAGAAAAACGGTACCGCAAGGAAGCTCAACGGTACCGCGGCTCTGAAAACGGCACTGTTTGCCGGAGAACAAGAGGAGGGCCGCACGATTAGTGTTGGTGTTGGAAAAGGAGTTTTTTTTATCTATTCCTTGTCGGAGGGGAGAAGCGATACCGCGTGGAAACAAGCGGCATCGCGGAGAAGTAAAACGATACCGCGAATTTAAAAAAACGGTACCGCTGTGCTAGCAAACGACAATGTTTAAAATATTTAAACAATGTCGCGAAAGGAAAAGCAAACGAAGCCGTTTTGGGGAAGGAAAGGATACCGCGAGCAAGCCCAACGGCACTGCAAGACGAGAAAAACGATACCGTTTGATAGAGAAAATGTCGCGGAATGAAAAACGACATTGTTTGATGGGACCGGGACAGAGCGGTTCAAGGTCGGCATCGATTTGTGAAAAGCGGTGCCGCGGAAAGATTAAACGGTATCGAGGGATGAGAATACAATAATGAGCAGGTTTAATTAATTAATCTTTTTAATAATTATTTTAGACGGTGTTGTTTGGCTGAAAACGACGCCGCAAGAGAAAACAACACCGCGGAGTATAAAACGACAGTGTTTAATATAAAACAATGTCGCGGAGGAAAAAAAAGTAGACAGAGCTGTTTGAGGAATAAAACGACATAGCGTGAGATTCACGCCAACCAGAGCGAGGAGGAGATCAAGAGGGTTGAGACACGTGGGAGTTCACAACGGAGCAGTTGAGGAAGCGGTTTTGCGGATTTGCGTGAAGACTACGAAGATGCTTTCGAATAAAAGCAACAGAGCAAGGAGAGAGAGAGGACAACCAAATCAACACAGAAACACATCTGTCAAACTTTACCTTTTTTCTCTGTAACTCCTTCGCGGAGCTCTCCTTCCAGGAAGGATCTCCATAGTTGTAGTCTTAGTCGTAGTCGCGGAGCTATCCACAGGAATCTCCATAGGAGTAGCGGTAGCATAGATTCCTCAAAACTCAAACACCCTCGTTCGAACGTAGTTTGGAGAGGTGCGAACCGTAGTAACGGTCATTCTTGGTTAGAAGTCAGAGGTGCATCGATCAAATCAACACCGCACGACGGTGGATATTTGACGGTCACATTGATTTCACCATTTAGAGGGTCATCGATCAAATTAACGGCGTCGACATTCGACGGCGGATATTTGACGGTCGTCTCGATTTCAGCAATCAGCGGTGCATTCAATCAAACGGCACCGCAAGAGTTTCCACCGCGAAACATCGAATCAACATCGCCAAAAACGAATTCAGCACCGACGGTGGCATTTGATTTTCCCGGGGAAACAGAAGGCGAGCTGGCTAAGATTTACCAATTGGACGGTAACAGCAGCTTGCTCTTCTTCCTTTAGTTTTGTTATGGGAACCAGACCGACCATTGATTTAGTTAGTCATTTTAGTAGTTCATTAGCTAGCTCCCCACCAATTTTGGGCCTTGTGGTGTGGTGGGCCTGATCCTCATTCTGTCTCCAGCAACTTGCAATCATTATTGGTTGGACTTGGAGGGAGCTACCTTCTATCCATCCACGACAAACTAGAAGGTTGCCGATTCATCAATAATAATTGAGTTTGCAAAGCCTTAAGTATTTCAACGTCTTTGCTTTCCGTTTACTAATGACTAATCTGTTTTCTTTTCACTGTGTAATCCAATTAACTTTATTAATCAACTAGCTTTTTACTCGGCCCGTTGGTCGGAGAGATTTATTTTATAATTTATATTAATTAATTTATCTATATGTTTAAATCATTTTGGATCTTATAAATATTTTGTGTTTCTGTTTCATAAAAGAGTTCGTAGTATGTTTATATTGAAAATTTCCAATATTTAGCACACTCTCTTCTGATGCTTCAGTTTTCTAATCATAAATTATGCCGCTGTCACGTTCCATTTAGAACTTATGTCAAAATTTGTCAAGCAAAACACTAATATTTAGTGTACGCCAACCTGAACAACACACACACACAGACTACCATACGACCATTGAGTTTTACTATTTAGACTCCAGAGTTTTACTATATATATATATATATATATGGTGCCTTCTACCGTACCCCGGGTGAAATCCGGGGTACCGCATACATTGAGTATGAAAAGGCCATCTAGACCTCGAATTAGCAGGATTTTTGGGCATGATACTATACCCTAACACTTAATGAGTGAACCCTAGGTCCTAATTATCTAAATCATAAACTATAAACTCTAAGATGGTGCCTTCATTTTTTTGCCTATATTTGGACGAATCATAACCGTCGATTATTATTTCTAATTAAATTGATCTTGGGGTATAAGATTTAGAGAATTAAGACCTAGATTTCGATCTTTAAGGGTTAGAGTATAGTATCATGTCCGAAAGATCAGTCAATTCAAGTTCTGGATAGTGTTTTCTTACTCAAGGTATGCGGCACCCCGGATTTCGCCTGGGGTACGGTAGAACTCCCCATATATATATATATATATATATATATATATATATATATATATATATATATATATATATATATATATATATATATATGTATATATGTGTGTATATGTATAGTAGACTCAAAATTATCCAGATACTTCGCCAGACGTATCTTATCTCGCCAAATACTCATATTAAGAGTGCTACTTGCCTATCCCCCAACCTCGGGATAGAGATCCCGCTTTTACCCCATAATGTCAGACAACCATTGAGATTGTCTATCATTTGATATGTAATATATAAAGAGGCAAATCCTAAGATCCTGCTATTTATTTCTTATCCTCTCCCGCCACCTCCTTTATGGAGAATAAAAGGGTAGGGATGACAGGATCATAGCTCGATATGCTTTTATTCTGTTCATCGTATCGGAGGTTATATTCTTTTTTTATTTTTTTGGGCTTCTTTTCATTCTTCTTTGACACCTACGGTTGTGATCAGAAGTATTTAGCCCCCAAAAGGGATAGGAATTTTAGGACCTTTGGAAATCCAATACACATTCATGGTCCTCAAGTTTGGACGAACTCTCGACCAATGTTGTAAAGATTAGGACTTTTTAGTAAGACATTCTTGGTAAAGATACTTCATTATTGGATCAATTTATTCATCAATATTGAAACTTGACACACACCGTAGCCTTCGTGATGATTAAATTCTATAATCTCGACTCATTTGCATTTTGGATGTTAGTTTTTTTTTATCAAGACACTTAAATTTAGTGTATTATACAATATGTATCAATTGTTAATTTTTGAAGTTCAACCCGTGGTCATTGTTTATATGTTGGCTTAGAATCTCAATCTAAGACACTCGCACACACTATCGAGGATTTTGGTCTTAACATGGTCGTTGAATGTATAATTTTCAAAGATTTTATCACATATATATTAATATTGATAAACAGTGTCTATAATACAAACATATTTCAAGTGCATTTAAAATCTCTTATCATTTGAACAATATCAGTGGATTTCATTTAATTATTTGCATTAACTTATTAACAACATATATCAATTCGTGTTTCTCGGGTTTGGACGAACTGACAACCAATTTTGAGAGTTGAGATTACTGGATAAAGATACTTGATTGTTGGATAAATATGTTTATCCTAATTGACTATCTTACTAAAAATTGCCAACCTTTATTTGGTAAATGTCTAGGTTAGTAGTTGATGAAACGCGATATTTATCGTAGATTCTCAACAAAGATTCTCTAACATTCCTTTATGTTTTTTTCAAGGAATCTTGTGTCTCATCCTAGGGTATGAAGTCAAAGTTCGTCAATAATCATACTTAAGTCATTTTGAAAATTTTGATTTATAATCGTTAACGATAAGTCCAAGTCCGAAAGAAAATTTCTTAGCATACGACTTAGGACTTCAATAGAGCTTGCTCAATCAACATGATATAGAACAAATATTATTAATGTGAACTTAGGACACATTATAAAATTATTCCACATGCGATTTTTCTTCATTTGAGGAGTTTAAGGTAGAACATGATCCGAGGAATAAGAAGTCTTTTTTAAATAAATAATTATAACTACTCGATCAAGATTATACTCGGACATTTTGCTAAATAATACTTATATTATTTTATAGACATATAATTTAAGAATAAGAGAGTGTTTCATTGCAACAAAATATAAAGTAATATAGTTTATTTTTCATAGGTAATTGAATGTCAAATGTATATTTTCACTCTTTTCATATAAATTTTGTTTAATCGAAAAAAACATTATTGTTTATTGTGTATGTTTGTCTAATTTTTCCATCAAAATGTAACTTATCATTTAATTTTAGTAAAAATGAGTAAAAAATTTACTTCATAAGGTTTAATCATATATTTTTTATTTAAACAAATGTGGTATATGTTATTTTCTGTTTTCATATTTATATTTTTTTTATTGGACAAAAAAATTATTATTTATATGTGTTTGGTTAAGCTTATCAACATGTAACCTACTATTAAAGCAAAAAAAAAAAAAATGGTTAACAGAA